TTGGATGCCGACCGGCTCAGTGGTCTAGAGGTTAAGAGTTGGCGTGCGAGTCTGATAGGTCCTGGTTCGAATCTCTCGAGTCGGGGTCGTGGATACGCACTGCTGAAGAGTTATACAATGGGACGAAACGGCCGTCCAGTGCTTCCAGGTATTCTATGGTGGTTTAACTTCAATTGACTCATGATCTCAACTATTAAAATATGCAAATTATCCTGAAACAAAAGGTACAGACTATTACTACTTCAATAACATATTTTACTACTGAAATTCTTGATATCATTTTACTTTTTAAAAACGTGATTTATTTTCAAGAGTAATATTATTAATTATTTTTAACACTATTATTACTAATTTAGTGGTATTAGTAATAATATTATCAATTCAATTTATCATTTATTTATTTAAACACGTAAATTTTAGTAAAAGAAGGCAAGAAATAGATATGCGCCGCACTCTGTCATTCGATTTGTGTGAGAGCTGGAATACTATCGGGGTGACCAAGCCGGAGCAGGTAGTTTTCTTAGGGGGGCCATACACCGAGCTTTTGACCTTGCGGTCTTATCCATAAGGTAGTGCAACAACCTTAAGAGATGTAGTCCCATACGCCATTCGTTCGCTCAGAATTCTGTCGCTCATGTGTACCATTAGTTTGAAATCAGGATTTTCCAGCTCCCTTAGGTGAATCCTCCGTATTCACCAACCCGGTTCCGGTGCCGGACATTCTCTTTTTGTTCTCCAAATTTCATAAACAACACTCCTGGTGCGAGAAGGTAGTGAGTAGGACTTCTTTGACAGTGGTTGCATACACGTGGCCATGTGAGAGCATTTCGAGAACGAGAGCTGACTCTCTCCACTCTCTGCCGTACCAGGGCTGATGATTTTTCTTACTGATTTTAAACAAAATTCATTCAGAAAATCACAAAAGAAAACATAAAACTTTCCATTTTTTCATATTCCATTTTTGTTGACATTAAGATAAAGTATTCTTTTACAGAAATCAAACCATTCAACATTCATATTCCCCAGTGAGTTCAATTATTGTTAAATGTTGAAGATAAAAAACTTGTCAATAAAAAGCTTATGACTTAAGTATACATAGTTATGACAAGTCTTTCTACTGAAGAACTAATATTGAGGCAGCTCTGAAGTAATCTATTCTGAATAATATTGTAAACATTATACTTATTTACAAAACTCTAACCTTCTCTCTCTCTCACTGTGTTTACTTCTATTTAACGAGTTTCACTTCAAATTTTTATTAGATATCAGTGACTTCGTAAGGTTGTCAACATTCATAACATAGTACTATATATACATAGTAACAATTAAGCGTGTATCACTCATTCAACTTTCATTTATCCCACATATATATACACACAAACATGTCATTTAACGTTAAACGTTTTCATTTTATTTATTTAAAATTTCTACAACCATCAACAAAATTGTCACTTTCCCCCCTCACACACACCACCACCACTATATTGATGTTTTAAAATGAAAACTTTCCTGTTTTGAGCAACGTGGTAAGTTATACACACTTGTGTTACTATGTATTTGTTTAGATCAATGCAAAGTTGACATATTAGTAATCACGCAAATGACTGATAAATAGATTATATACCCTATACATGATGACTAACTCTTTTATAATCAAATTAATATATCTGTAATAGGTTAACTTATTTAGTTATTTTTTTGAATTATCTAAAATAATAGAACAGCCCATCAAAATTATTTCTTGCTCATCAATATTTATGTATATAAGATGTATTGACAGGAAGAATGAATGAAACACCTCTAAATTGGTTACTTACGAAAATTTGTTAGTATTTCCATAATTAAAATCATGAGTCCACCATGAAAAACCTGGAAGCACTGAACAGCCGTCTCGTCCCATTGTGGGGCTCCTCAGCAGTGCGCATCCACGATCCCGCCCCACAAGATTCGAACCCAGGACCTACCAGTCTCGCGCCAGAGCACTTAACCGATAGACCAGTGAGCCGGTATCCGATGGTGTTTATGTCTAACTTCAACCAATACACGAAGTTGAGCAACCGTTCACCAATTGTCTTCAGTGAGTTCCTATTTCACAACGGACGTGGTTTGAACTCCACTGGTCACTACTTCTCACTAGAACTCCAGGAATTACCTCTTGAAGTCAGACACTATTGAGCATATGATTATAATCAGAAGGAGTTTTGTGGAGATTTAGTATTTTCATAATTGAGATCATGAGTCAATTGAAGCTGGACCACCAAGGAAAACCTGGAAGCACTGGATGGCCGTTCCATCCTATTGTGGGACTATTATTAGGAAGTGAATGTAGTAATATACCCTTTCGTTGATATTTGATGACTGGATAGTAGAAATAATGAAGAGAAAATATACTAACTTATGTATGAACTATTAATTATATATTTGGTTGCTAGTTTAATGTAGTTACTTGTACTCAAGGAATTTAGTGAATGGTTGAAAAATTTACATTGTGAAGAATGTCATGACCTACAAGTAATCTTCAGACTATCAATCTGATGTATGTATAATATTACAATTAGACTAGAAGAAATATAAGAATATGTTGACTAAAATCATTTTATGTAATATAAATAATGTAATGTATAATACGAAGTGATTTAAGTTAGACATTATCACGGTCGGATGCCGGTTCTGTGGTCTAGAGGTTGAGCATTTGCTAGAGTAATCGAAGGTCTTATATTTAATTCTCGTGTGTGCGGTCATGTATTCACTCTGATGAGGAGTCCGATTCTAGGACTAAACGGTCGTCCAGTGTTACCTGTTTTTTAATGATAGTCCAACATTGATCTGTTCATAATTTCAATGAAAATAATTTTAACTTCAGATCTAACTAATAATAACGGATCATTATATAGTGGTTTCATTCAACTCTGAAACACTTCAGCATCATCCGCTTCAAAACACTTAATTACAGAAGTTAAAATTTAGCAGTTTACACTTTATGAAGTCTGTAAAATTATAATATACCATAATCATTCCCTAACATCAAAACTTAACATTTAGCCTTGTTTATTTTTTCTAAAAGATAGATGTTCTAACTACATTGTCTATCATTCGTTTGAAACTAAGTTACTAATCAATAATAGATGATTATACAGCTAGGTGATTGATGAAGACGGTTAATGACAGTCACACGGTATAAAATACCTTATTTACTCAATTGTTTGATTTGTGGAACCATGTGAAGAACAACTATGTATTTCACAAATTTAGAATCCCTCAGAAATCTAAGTCATACACTAAGTGCAATAACATATAGTCGAAATTCAAGTTCGGTTTATTCATAATACTACACAACAATCATGCTTTAATCATAGTAAAAACTGTCTTATTTGTCAACACGAACTTTACATGCCTCAGCTTCTTAACTGACTAAACAATATGGGGTTCATCAACTGTACTGATTCAGAAATATGCTGAAATTCCTGTCAGTTATTATGACACATTATCCCAAGAACATAAAGTTTAAATTAATCTTCTAAATATAGATTGAATCATTACCGAGTTTACCAAATACACATTACTAAAAAGTCAAAATCAATTCAAAGAAAATGCTGTGATGTATTTATAAAAGTTCGTAAATGATAAAAATATACGAATGCCAAGTGAAGATATTTTTTTCTCTCAAGCGCTGATTTATTAATATCTCTGTATGATATTGTCTCGAGTACAATACCTGATGAAGATTTGATTACGCTTTCTTAGAGAGTTATAATTTGGGAAAAAATGGTCACTCAGTAATCCCTTATTATCAGTTTCCCCTCAGCTAACATTGCTTCATAATGGGAAGTGAGCACTGGTTAAGGCTTAAGGACTGAGGTCTCTTAGTAATACTTAAGAACGGTTTACGTTTGGTCAAGTAAAACAGACGCTTTTTCTCAGGAATCTCTTAACAGTGTTTGTATACAATAGCTTTCTGAGGTGTGAATTAGAGACCTTTAGGAAGTTAGCGTTTATAAAAGCTAATATGATTTCAGTATTTTCTTTTTAATCAGCAGTCAACGGGATAGACGGCTTGTCTTATCAACGAAATAGTAATACTGACATAGTATTAGATTACTTTATGTTAGGCAATAAGAAGATTCATTTTCTAATCCAAAAGGATTTGTTTTTAGGTTCATATTACTAAATTCATTTTATCCTGATAGAAAGACGAAATGTCGATAACAATCTAACCCAACATCTAATATAAAATAGATTATATCAAATTCAAAAACACCATAACAAACAAGTTGGATCAACTGTTTACATATACGAATATAGATGAGAAATGAAAAGACACTATATGTTTTCACTTAAATCAATAGTGGTAGAAAATTGTAAATATCATACTTGACAAAAAAAATTTCAGAAGAGGTTTTGTGGAGATTTCAGTATTTTCATAGTTGAAATCATGAGTCAGTTAAAGCTAGACCACCATGGAGAACCTAGAAGCACTAGATGGCCGTTTCGTCGTAACGTGGGACTCCTCAGCCATGAGCATCCACGATCCCTCACTCGTGAGATTTGAACCCAGGACCTGACTTCAATAGATATTTCCTGGAGTTCTAGTGGGAAGCAGTGACCAGTAGAGTTCAACCACATCTTTTGTGAGATATCAACTCACTGAAGACAATTGGTGAACGGTTGCTTATAAAAAATTTGGTTAAAACTTGACTCAAGTAAGTGTCAATTCGATTTATTAGATATGAGACTTAATTTAAACATCAACACTAAAAGACAGATACATTCACTTGATGAACTTTCAATATAAGATGAAATGATTATTTTATATTCCACTCCTAGTCACATATCAAATATAATAATACAAAATTCTATTAACCTATGAAATAATTTTTTTTTCTGACAACATATTATCCAATCAAGATTTAGCTAATATTAACCAATCAAATTTGTAGCTGATTATTATGTTAATTATACAAAACATTTTCTTCAATTCTGATTGGCTAGTTAATATTCAAGGTTATTATCATATTTCATGTCTATATTTTGAAAATGATATGGTACACTTGCATTTACACATGTAATACCACTTATTGTTTCCCTATTTATACTACTGAAATGTTTGTTGTTTTTTTTGTACATTATATAAATCTATAATATCAAATCATCAAAACTAATAAAATTTTTAATATACATCTAATAATCATTAGGATTAAATTAATCTATGGCTACATTACCAAGTTGTATGTATTGGACATTTACTAATTCTGGTTTATTAATACAAGATTGGTTATTAAAACCAGTTCGACCAATTAATTTAAATGATGCAATCAATCAATATTATTTATCATCAATTATTGATACTAAAAATCAATTCAGTAATACTATTGAAAAATTGAATGAAAATAAAACAACTACTACTACTACTAATCATCATAATGATAATAATATACAACAAATAATACAAATAATGTTTTATTTTAGTTTACCATTATTACCAGCTATAACAATGTTACTATCTATGATTAATATATTTATTGAATTTAAATATTATATTTATTCAAAGTATTTATTATATATACGTCCATATATTTATAGATTACCACATTATCTTATTGTATTCTATATATTAACATGTATTAATTCATTTATAATATGGTTAATTATATTACCACGTTATATACCAATGTCAATTGGTTATTATAATCTATTAACAAATGAATTACATTGGAATGATACATCTATCTATATGAATATAAGTAGTAGTAGTAGTAGTAGTAGTAATAATAATAATAATCATACACCGAAATATTTAACCCAACTACCAGCTATATTAACAATGCAAATTGCATTACGTTTAACTATATGTTGGTTAATTATTGGTTTATTAATAAATCGTATTTATATATTAAATGAATTATATATTAATCCATTAAAAAAATCATTTGGTTATTATATCAATTATTTATATACACTGATTAAAGAGAATTTATATGATGATCATTGTTATAATCATAATACTACTACTAATAATAGTAATAATGGTACATTATTGAATGATAGAAGCAATACCAACAAACAACACAATCATCCATTGAATTCAATATTTCAATATCTATTCAAATTTGGCGCTAATTTATGTTCAATAAAAAAATGTCCAATCAAATCATGTCCCATATGTAAACAACTTAATTATAATTGGTCAGAAGAATATTTATGTTTTAAATGTAAACCAAATTATTATCATAATAATACAAATTTATTAAATCATCAATTAATTATTAAAAATAATCAAAAAAATAATCCAATTTATTTAAGTAGTATAATAAATATGAAAAGAATTAATTATAAAACAATTGGATATTTAATTTTAATAATAAGTTTATTAATTACTTGTTTATTATTAATATGTTTACCACAAATATGGTCATATCAATTAATTGGAATAAATTTAAAAATTAAATTATTCAATCAATATACTACTAGTACTACTACTAACACAGAACATATGAGTAGTATAAGTAGTAGTAATCATGAAAATTATTATCCAGCATGGCGTTTATTAAATAAAACTAGTCAAACTATATATGAATATTGTTTTGCTGTTATTCATTTTGTGATACCATGTTGTACAATAATTGTTACTATATTATTATTAATTATACGTATAATTAAAATTAAATATGAATTAAAATCTATTATATTACATAATATAAATATGAATAAAAAAGATATAAAATTATATATGAATATAATACAATATTGTATTGTATATTTAATACAAGATAGTGTATTAATCTTAATGATGGGTATTATACAATTATGTTGTACAATACCATATTTAATGATCAATTCAATTCATCGTTTAGAATGTTTATTAATTAATAATCAATCAATAAATGGGTTCATGCCAACTTCATCATCTACATCCTCAGCAGGAGCAACAGCGGCAGCAGCAGGCACATCAAAAGATGATTTGTTTTGGCCAACTCGTCAAAATTGGTTATTTATAGAAATGAATTATTTATTTGGTGATTTTTTAATTCAATTAATTATATTATCAATAAATTTATGTGATACAAATCATTTATTAATAAGAAATTATTCAATTGAAAATTTTCAAAAAATTTATTTAAGTAATGTAAATAGAAATAAACAAAATTATCATAGAATTCAATGTCAAATGAATGATGTAATGAAATTTCAAGAAATGGAAGATCATCAAGATACTCAACAAAGAGATAATGATGATGATGACAACGATGGTAGTGATGATGATGATGATGATGATGATGGTGAGGATGATCATCATCATCATGATATTGATGAGGATGATAATGATGATAATCTACATGATGATATGAATATTGAAAATGGAGTTAGAAAAAAAATCTATACATATCGAATGAAAACACCAACAGATAGTGGACAAACAAGTAAAAATATATCACCATTACCTATTTCACATACAATATCTGACGTACTATTATCACCAAAGTTTCGATCGAAACAAACTATTTATAGATTAAATCAACAGAATAGAATACATAGATCTATACCATCAGCATTACCATCACCATTATTACAACGTATACCAGAAATGATAAATTATGACACTTCACATCATCATAATTATCATCATCATCAACAACAACAACGTAACAATAATTGTAATAGTTTCACCACAAAATATCCAACTAATTCATATGTAGAACCAAAAACAAATATGGCTAGTTTAACATATTCACCAAGATCACGTCATCCTTGTCGATTACAGAATAAAATACTATTGCATGATTCATCCAAGACAATTAATAATAATAATAGTACTAGTATTCATATGTCGAATCCATCATCTTTGATTCAATCGACAAAACTGATCACAACACCAAATATGAATTTAACTCGTATTCAACAAAATCGACAAATTAGAAATAAGTCACCGCCACCATTGCCTCCTCCACCAAAACATTTAATACAAATGCTTGGAGGTGATTCATCAATTTATTCAACACCACATGGATCACCACAACAAGTAAATACACATAAACTTATGATAATAAACAACTCTAACAGTAATACTCCTAATAATAATAATATTTCAGTAGACTATTCACCAGATTTATTACATGTAAGTAGTATTTCAAAACATGAAAGTTCAACAACTGGAAGTTTCAGACAAACTGATTCAGGTGTTACAAATATGGGTGGTTCTGTAATTGATAGTGAACAATATGAACCAAATACTATTGTAACATAATTTGATCTTGATTAGTTATTTTTATGAAATTGATCAGTTGAGATGACAACACTTGACAACATCATGTTCATCTCCTGTCTTCTATATGGTAAGAAGAATGTACTGGTGCTTTTAATTCGTAAAGGATATCTTTGCCGATATAATACATATATATATATATATATATATATATATATATATATATATATATATATATATACTCCGTTTTCGTGACGTGAACAATATCTTAACCATACAGAATGATGGGTGCAATATTATGTAAATATTAATCTTCCGTTCTCCTTTCTTGAGACCGTTTACAAGTTACGTTTAGATTTTTTTAAATAGGCAACATAAAACAGCTGTTTTACAACTTATTCCATTGTCATTTTTAATGTTATATTATATACTACTTGTAAGTAAATTAATTTTATCCATTTCAATTTTAATAAGAGATCATTGCAACACAGTAAATAAATAAATGATTTTATTCATTCAAGCATTTTTTGTAAATATATTGAATAAATTACAGGTAGCATCATTGTACTTAACGATATTCTTCTGGAAAACTGAGGACAGTAAATTTAAGTGAACTTTATGTTAAACAGTTATTAAGCAATGAGAATCAACGTGAACCACATTTCTTCATCAAAAAATGTCTAAAGCTAGGTAATTTGTTTTCCCTTTAAATACCTGAATGAAAATTTTTCGTCATAAGATCTAGAAACCATAAGTTTGATATCATATATGGTTGTAGACGTATGCTGTCGACTGGGAGCACAAACTAAAGGTCTTAGGTTTAGTCACCGGTAAGATTATGACTGAGTTCTTTGGTAAGGTCCCATTTTAGGACTAAACAATTGTCCAGTATTTTCTAAATTTCATTAGTTGTCAAACCAAAATCAGTTCTTAATGTAAAGCATATGAAGGCAAAATTACATACCTGTTTAATTTAACACTCACCCAACCCCATTTTTCAATTTTTTTTCAACTAATCTCGATTGATTGTGAAAGTCATCACAAAATAATTATTCCAAAAATAAATTGACTGCTTTTGAATGAGAAATGTCCTACTTAAAACAATCCCTGTTTGTTTCTGCAATTTCATTGATAAACTATTCAACTAACACGTAAAGGTGTCTGATTCGAGTCGTGATGTGAACATCAGCACGCATGTGGCAGTAAAATGATTTCGAAATAGAATGTAAAATATGTCTTAGTTTCCACTGCTAGCCACGATTCATCTGTTTTGTATGAAAATGATGACGAAGTGGATATATGAAAGCCAACAGCAGAGGGTACATAAATCTTAAAGAAAATTAATCAAAATTAAATAAACAGGATAACCCAAATTCTTATTAACAACAATATACTCCAGTTTGTTAGTAATAAATGCTAAAGTGCATAAATAACAAATGAAATCAACTGATATCCAAATATCAGTATGGAGTTGTTGAAATTGCTGAGTTTTTGATTGAGATCATGAATCGATCAGTGTCAGGCCACCATTCAAAACCTGGAAGCACTGGATGTCCGTTTCGTTCTATTACGATACTCCTCAGCAAAGAGCACCCACGATCCTGCACGCGGATTCGAACCCAGGATCTTCGGCCTCGCGAGTGAACAATCAGTCAATTAAGTATAGAACGGGAATGCTTGGGAAAAATTGTGCCAATCCTTATCATTTTGAAATATTTAAAAATAGATTTAAACTTGTGATCAAGTTGTGATAAAGAATGAAGAGTAAGACATGTTTCTTATTACTAACCGAATTCTATCTATCCAGTGGAAGTTTGCATTGGAATAGGTCTGTTAATGTACACTGACATGAACTAATATAACCAGTTTACAAAGGTTTCATCCTACTTAGAGTATGTATCCTAAGCAAGAATGAGAAAGAGACAGCGGGGGAAAACAGGACAGCTCTTTTATCCTAGCTTGGGATTTTTCACCAGTGCTTACCGAACGTTATTTCGCGGTAGAAACTCCTTCATTATACTGGACTAATCTTTACAAAATTAACTAGGTACTTTGTCTTTACATTAGAATTCGTTTACAGAGAAATTTCTTAAAATAAGATTGCAGCAGAAAAAATAATGTTATTCACTATATGAAAATGCAAAACAGAAAGCAGACAATTACGAAATATAATAATAAGTTCAGAGAACTAAGATTGTGTACAGACCATGTACACAAAGAATTTCGATACTTACTTTCTGGAGATTCTTTGATTCTTAACTAACATCACAAATTCAATGAACTCTAGCTATTGTCTTAGTTTCAAAAATTTCTTTCATTTAGTGAATTCGTTTGATGATTGGCTGAAATTTTACCAGTTCCCCAAAAATTTCAGGCATGTCACATTGATGGACATCAACTTACCAGAAACATATATCTAGATTTTCCTGTCGGATAGCTTCAAACATTTAACATCTGTAGTGTCTCAAAAGGTAGAATTGGTCAAAAATGTTAGTACTTTTAGTGGCTTGATACCTGACTCCAGTTAAATCGTATAATGATTGTTATAGAAATATACATCCTGCCGACCCTTGTATATTTGATCTGACTTAATTTGCGTTAGGAAATAACAGAATGAAATAAGTCAAATATGAGAATGAATTTTGAATACGTATGTTTCATACACTCATTGATCCGAACCGACAATCAGAGAAACGAAGTAACACACATCAGAGTTGGCTCACTCACCTTTTCTGCTGAGCATCACTTCGTTTCCTTATATAACTCCAATGTTTTGACATTAAAAGAGTAAATAATTCTTCAGAGTGCAGAGTGCCCTGAAATATCCACTAAGTCGTTATAATGTTTCGTCAAATACTGAGATCAACAAAACAGAATTAGAAAACTGAGTTATCAGTGATAGATTTAAACAAGTGGTTAGGGATAAGCAAAAGTATATATATTATTGTGTCATGCAATGTATTACATACATCTGATACATATAAACAACGCATAGAATAAAAATATAGCTCTGTGTACAATGTTACACAACCAAGGAAGACACGATATTCGATTAAGAATATGAGAATTATGAAAAATTTTCTATCACAATATATCCAAACGTAGTGCTCACTATGTAAAGTCACTTAAACAAGTATCCACAATCCAACTTGATTTATAAAACTCGATCTACACTAGTAATAGACACACACAATATCAGTCACTGCTCAATGATCAATCATTTGTAAATACATCTCAATTCTGATGGCAGGTCAGCCACAGACCGAATAGCTCAGTGCTAACGTCTCCTAATATGAAGATTGATGACACATGAACAAATCAACTAGGGAATATCAATTTCTTCAAGATTACAGGTACACCTTACTATCGTGTGCCAAATAACATCAAACCTAGATGAAACAGTGTTTTTTCGTCGACTACCTCCGTTCACATAACATCAAAATGTAGTGCGAGCGTTGTCAAGTCACTTAAACTACTGACGATATTACAATTGGATAGATAGAATTCAATCAATACTAAAAAGGGCTAAGCTAAACGAACAAGATATTAATCATTAATCAATGATAGTTGTTTAATTAGTCCATGGTTAGGGAAAATTATATGGATTAGCGTTACAGTTACTAACTAATTACCAAAAAAAACAGAGATATTTCCATACTGATAATCAATACAATTTCTTATCATAACATTGATAAATATACATGATAATTTATCAGATTGCATTGATAGATGACTTTTTCTTTTCTTTCATATACAATAATAGGGATAACTATTATAAAATGGGAAATAAAGGTAATTTACTAATTTTTTCCTACATAAATATTAATCCGGAAACTGAATTCCTGTTTTTCTTTTTTTATATAAGACAATCTATATTACTCATGAGTAAGTACCTAGATATAAAGATAAAAAAAATATTAAAAATCTCCATGTTACTTTTATTGTATTAAGTGTACTTTTGACAATATGTATGGTTTATTTTTTAAATAAAGTTGTACACTTGTTATATCCTGAAGAGAATCATGAATGGTAACTTTGAGGACTATTTATGGATCAATTTGATGCGTATATTTCCTATTGTATAACTGTTAAGTAACTAAACTATTTATATTCATGTTTCTTTTATTATGAGCTTTATTTTAACCCATAGACTATTACTGTACGATTTACCATTCTTGAGTTATCCCTAGTCCATTAATTATTGTTTCCCCTATTCACAGCTAAATCCTGTACAAATGTTATTTTCTATTTTATGGTAAAATGTGGTCAGTTTGATTGGTATAGTAACTCAGTATGTTTGAAATAAATGATTAATATTGTAGAGGATGTTGTTGGTGTTCTGGATTTAGTTGGCTGAGCTAGGCAGAAAGCAGGACTGATAAGGACTTTAGACTGCTCGTACGGGTTCCGTGTATCATTGGTCTGATCTATCAATCACTGCTCTCTGATTGGCGGTATCGTCACGTCATATATAAACAGGGCACTCAGGCCACAAGATAGTACAATTGGCGTTTCACAGGTTATAACAACACTGAATTTTGTTCAATGTCTAATTCTTATCCCAATTAATCGATCTGCATCCATGTTGCAATGAAATGAAATAACTTGTTGGTAATACTTTGTATGCTATAAAGTTAAATGACTCACGCTTTCAACTATGAAAATACTAAATCTCCACAAAAACCCCCTTCTCAAATAAATTAGCCTTGATTATATCGATGTGAATAACTGTTCTATGCTCTTACCGTCAACATCAAAATCAAACCATACACCTTAATGAAAACAAATGAAGATGTTATTGTAGAAATGTTTACAGTGAACATTTGATGTTGATTAGCTACTATTATGAACTAAGTGAACATTAACGAGTTAACTGATATAATTTGAAATCTGGCAGAGAGTATCGGCTGAATCAAAATTCCAGATGAGTCTTACTGATATGACTACCGACTAATACAAAACATAGGTAAAATAGGGTTCCCTGCCAACTACCTCAATTCATTTAACAACTCAGTATAGTTCATATAATGTTAAGTCATTTA